GGTTAGCGTTAGGGTTAGATTTAGGTTTACAGCGCAATTCTGTCGGCGCGCTGTTGTCGGCGCGATTCAGCGCTCATTCATCGGTGCGTTTTAGAACTCGCGGTTTTGTCACCGCAGTTTAGTTGGGCGCGCTTTTGTTGGTCGCCCTTTTGTCGGTGAACTGCACTATAATACTAACATTGAGCAAAGGCTAATTTAAGAACAGTACAGGTAGTCCTTGACTTAACTGTTTGTTTTAGTTACAATGCCACTGAAAGGGGGATATATAAATGGTTTTCACACTTACAACTGTGACAGCATCCCTATGGGTCACCTGATCAAAACTCAGATGCTTGACAACTGATTCATATTTATGACGGTTACAGTGTCCCAAGATTATGTGATCACCTTTTGTGACCTTCTGACGATCAAAGTCAATAGACAAGCCAGATTCACGTAACAACCATGTTACTAACTTAACAATTGCAGTGATTCGGTTAACAATTGTGGCAAGGAATGTCGTAAAGTGGAGCAAAACTCACTTAACTGCTGTCTTGCTTAGCACAGAAATTTTGGACTCAATTGTTGTAACTCAAGGACTATATGTATATGAAAAATTATCCCAAATTACGCCTTGGTATAATCATAAGTATAGAAGAATTGGGGGGGGGGAAATGTTTCAAATTACTGTCTGTGTTTTTTCACATTAGAAACAGGCTACTTTGATCATTCAGAAAGTATTTCAATCTTAAAAGAGTGAAACGGAACTCTTGTGCTTGAAACATTTTCAAAATAATTTGAATTTTAAGTGTTTTGTACCTTATAAATTCTCTGGAATTATGTCATCAGATATCTTGCACATTTTTTTTGTATTTTTTATCTGCTGCACTTGATTCATAAGTACAACCCACTGACTGACTTTTTCTTTCATTTATATGGTATAAGCTATTTGTCATATACAGAATTCCAAGTGTTTCTTGAACCTAAATATTTTCTGAATACTTCTGATGTTACAGGAATCCAAAGAAATAGGCCTTTCAAATCTTTTTCGCCAAGAAAACACAACGGTATCATCAAGACCATCTGTGGAACAATTTTCCAATCTTATTAAAACTAGTCTTCATTATCCTGAAACATTTAATCACTCCTTTAATCAGAAAAGGTTTGAATATTTCTTCTTTTTACTCTAGACTGTAACCAGCATTACTATTCCATCCATTTTCCTTCCTTTTTTAGAAATATGAATATGGCACTCATTATAACCTTCCACTGCAAAGCATAAAATATTGTTTATACAAGTCTAAAAGTGAAGCCTATTTTCTCCACTGAACAGGAACAAATACATTTGTTTAGGGAGTAATTTGCTTGGGGACTATAGCTAAAGAAGTAAATCTCTGCTGATGAGATGGAAAGAATGAAGTTTGTTTTCTGCAGGATTCAAATTCTATTTCACATACCCCCTGGGGGTGCAAGACGATATTCCAGGGGGTGCGAAAACTTGGGTTTAGAAGTTTCAAAAATATAGTATATATGCATAATTATATGTATATAATTATTTACTTTTTTAAGGGGTTAGAGAATATATCGGAAGCTTTCTATGGGTGCGGGTATAGAAAAGGTTGGGAACTTCCGCTATAGCTCGATTACTTTCTGAAACAACACAGAACACCTAACAAGAAAGTCCACAAGAAATTATTTTCTTGGGCTCTTGCATTGAAACCTTCATGATATTTTATGAAGTTATCTTGAAATCCTAATTTTTAAGAATTCATAGCTTTAGCTATTCTGTTCCCTATCTTTCCCTTAAGAAATAATTTTCATGTATGATTTTTAACAGTAATTGACACAATCTTTGTATAAATGTAAGACAGAAGTACTCTTGGGAGGCTTATAGTCAGTGGGTTGGATCAGTGGTGGGATTCAAATAATTTAACAACCAGTTCTCTGCCCTAATGATTTCTGCCAACAACCAGTTCACTAAACTGTTCAGAAAGTTAACAACCGGTTCTTCTGAAGTGGTACAAACTGACTGAATCCCACCGCTGGGTTGGATCCAAAGTTGCATCCAGTAGAATTTTTTTCTCAATAGAAATAATTGCTTCAGATTCTTTTTTTGCCACTGTAGTGCTATGCCTTCTGAGAAACTACTCAAGAGAGGCTTTCTGGGATCGAATGGTAAATTATACTAGGTATTTAAGGAGAGTAAGCAAAAAATGCTTTCCTATCCTTTTTTCCAATGGAAAATAATTAATTAATCTCAATTCCTTCTATCAATGTAAGAAGCCCTTCCCTTCACAAATAACGATTCCTAAATCTAACATATGTTGTTTAAAAGAGATGTGCAAGTTGATATTTGATTTATATTTCAAATTGGAATTCTAACGAGTCCTGTCAAATAAAATATATTTCCATTTATCCTGAAAGCAGAACATGCTATTCTACTTTTTTCCAGATGGTCCATTTTTGTTTAGCAGTTGACTGCAGCTATATACTCTGTTTAAAACTAGCATATTTCAGTGTTGTTGTTTTAAAAAAAGCAAGGATGATTGTGCTCTACAATTGATTCACTGATCAGTTGATCTAGTTGCAATTGATACAAATTTTATTTCCAGCCTTTGTATAGTTCCAGTTACTCTTCTACTTTCAAATTGTTCTGAAGCTGATGTTGATGTGATAATTGATCTGCGACATAAAACAACAAGGTAATTTTTACAGCTTATAAGCCATTTATACTTGGGAAGATTCTTTGAATTAGATTCCTAGAGAAGATTCTTTAGAATATTATATCCTGTCTAAGAAATTTAAATATCAGAGCTTATCAAAGCATATTTCTAATTTGTTTTTGGTTTAAAGGTTTTACAAGTTTCAGATTGGTGAAGTACCAGAAGGGGCATGTTTAGTCAGAACTAAGAATTATTGACTGATAACCTAAATAACTCTGCATGATGTCAGCATGAAGCTATTGGCCTGACCCGAGATGCTTAAAACCTTTTTTCATGTTAATAGAAGGTTAGGGTAGTATTATAGGTTTAAGTAATACAATTTTCCAATTTATAATTTTATACTCAAGTGCCAATATTTTACATAAAATTCTCGTTAACATCCAGAAATGATATGTTGAGATCAAATAATACATTGTTTAGAACAAGGGTATAAGCAGGAAGAAATTGTGACCCCTGTACTTTCTCTTTTCCAGTCCAGAAGCTCTTGAAATCCATGGTTCGTTTACTTGGCTTGGGCAAACACAATACAAGCTTCAGCTAAAAGCTTATGAATTATCTAGCCTTCAATTAAAGGCTTGCTTTGTTCATACTGGAGTGTATAATCTTGGAACCCCACGAATATTTGCCAAGCTTTCCCATCAAGTTACTTTATTTGAAACAAGTCAACAGAATTCAGTGCCAGCCTTGATCATTATTAACAATATTTGACTTATGGGTTTGTTTTAAAAACAAAACAAAGTGCTGTTATTTCTTTGAACTTGCAACCTTGGCATATAACCTGTTAAAAAGTTGTAGATAAATCTTCCACATAATATTACATGCCTATTTTTGTTTCATAATACCAGGCATCTTGAATTCCGTTTCTTTCTTTTTAAAAATGTTTCATTTTAAATGGAAATAACCACGTAACATTTAAGATTCTTAAGAACAAAATTGGGAAATCCTCTGACATCTTTACTGCTGAAAAAAATGTACAGCATGTGTTAATTTTTGTGGCTGCATTAGATGGCAATTTAGGAAAAAAAGTTACTTGTTGGCTTTTTTGAGTAAGCCATAGATTGATAATTATATCATGTTGTTTCTGTGAAGTTAACTAGGATCCAATTTATTCCAGTCCAATTCTTCTTTTTCATTTTCAATTTTTAAAAAGTTGAATTTGAGACTTGCCTCATACTGTTAAGCAATTCTCATTGCAATTGCATATATAACTCCACTTATTCTACAATTTTTGACAGCAGTTTGAATATTTTCTCATTCATCTCAGAACCAAATGCACTGTTTCAAACAAAGAAATGTTTTGTCTTTAAATTCATTCACTTTATTATGTAACTAGAGCAATTCAGTTGATCTGGTTTTTTTTAAAGAAAGTTAAGCTTTTCAAGAAATGTATAATATTTATAACAGATTTGCTGTAAATAAAATAAATAAAATAACATTGTGCATCTTATTCACTACATTCCCCACTGTCGTTTTTTTAAACTCTGAAATGAAGGTATCAGGCTGGCCAAATGTTTTGTGCACAGACTAACCAATTTCAATAACCATGTCCCACCTGAAACATATGTTCTTGCAAGATTTAAGGTTTGGAGGTGAGGAAAATACAAACAAATAAGGCCATTGTCAGCCACTAAAATGAAGAGGAAATAAAATTAACATAACATATTGTCAATTTTTATCAATGGCCCTAAAAAGAGATGATTATTCATTTGAGCATTAATATAATAAATATTCTTGAAAATAATTTGATGAAATGAGAGAAACAGAATACATACATACATGCACATATACAACATAACATTTACTAGAACATATTCTTATTTCAAACCAAATAGCAAAAGAAAAAAAATCTTAGTATAATTACACCCACATTTATTGTTCTACAGTAAGTTGTGAAATGAGATGGTTAAATTTATTTCATTCTTGAGTACTCCTTTAGTAATTTAAGAAAAAAATAAACCATCAGCATTGTGCCAAATATGAGAACAAGAAAACTAATTAGTGCTTTCCCAACACTGACTTTAGATTTTGGGAGGGCTCCATGAACGTACACACTGAAAACTGTGGTAAAGTCACAATAGCTATATAGTCTATCTACAACAATAGCTCTGAAGACATAAAATCCATTGTACTGTGGAAAAAGTATTCTATTTCCTTCATCCCTGTTTAAAACCTGGTACTTTGACTTAATTGATGGCAAAGAGGTGTTTCCTTTGGGGTTCTTGCAACTCTCATAAGTATATCTAGTCCATGCAATGTGTGGAGAGCCTGGAAAAATTGCTAATTGTTTGGTCCAGTTCTGGGCCTCTGACAAACAATTGGCCTCTATTTCAGTCAAGAGATAATCATAATTGTGCATTCCATTTATTTCATATAGTACAAAATCCGCAGAAACGTATTCCACAAATTCATCGTCATTCCATAATTCAAGTTTTGGAAGCCACGGCTTATCATAATATAAGAGAATAGGACATCCCCAAGTGTCATATTGATAGGTCACATTAAGATTGTCCTGTGCTAAATTTTTTCTACCAAGGAACAAAGGATCATATAGATTCTTATCAATTGAATAAACAAAATTCTGTAGTAGTCTTGGTTCAAAGAGACCTTTACTGCAACCTGTTGTTGTCCTTAAAATTCTGATGTGTTTCTTAGGTGGGCAGTCCACTGCAATAAGAGCTGTCAATGGATACATGTCAATACAGAATAGCCCTTTGTTATAGATGTCCACAGTAATAGATGACAACTTTAAGAGTGTTGAGTTCTGTTTTCCTACCATCATACTTGTTAATTGTGGTTGTTCTTCTAATTTAATTTTCAAGCTGTATTTAGGGTTTCCATTAAAGGTGTAGCCATCCTCCATAATATGTGCCTCGAATACCAGTACTCCTGGATTGGTCACCATTACAAATGGATAAGCACTAGTCCCTGGCTTTGGTACAAATGTGGCATTAAAATGAAGCTGCTGCTTTGTATCAATATAATACATCCTGTTATGGAAATCACCCGTGAGGATCTCCATTGGACAGTGTCGCGGTAATGGTTTCACAGTCATGAGCTTTTCCTGGATGTTGATGATGCATTTTTGAAAATGATAGTAATTGGATGCATTGCCGGGAATTGGATGGATGATGCTAAGTATTCCAATATTTTCAAATAACATAGTTTCACAAGAAACATTGGCTGAGGAAAGAGTTTTGTCTCCCAAATGTACCACGCTTCTAATAACCATGTCAAAGTTTCCGTAGAAAAGCTGAGTCTTAGTGAGGAGTGCAAGTTCATTATTAGTGGTAGCTACAAAGCAAATATTTTCTGGAAGAGTTTTATTAGGATAGCTGTGTGTGTTACTCACAGTAATAATATCTGTAGTCAATCCATCATTCCAGGAGCTCATAAATGTTTTGTTAGTCCATAGCAAGATAAAACCTCTCATACCAGGGGGGAGTGTGCTTTCAATTTGATAACCTGAGAATGTTGACTTAAAGGATGCTCCTGTTTCATTTTTTATGGATTCAACATCTCCATGTATGAAGTATGCAGTGTCTGTATCACTGGCATCCTGGAGGAGCATTCCAAAATTTGATGAGGAAGCAAAAACATAGATGCCGAGTAGAATGCCATCCTTCAATGGTCTACTTTTTAAAGATTCAAATATGTAGCCCCCATTTTGTGAATAAAAGATCTCACTGTTGCTAACCAAATTGCCTGGGTGATATGCCAGAATAAGTTCATTGATTTTGTCACAGGCAGGATCATTTAGAGCAAAGCAGCATGTGTAGCTTGCAAGATCAGTAACTGGATGAGTAATCCCCTTTGAATGCAGCCATCTCTTCCATGTAGCATAGAGATAGAGAAAGACGGCGCCATTCACCACTGCCACGATCGTATCCTGCCCAAAGGCAGCAGCACTAACAATGGCAGGTGACCTTGTAAAACCATCAGGGATGGTTAGAGGAAGAAGGCTGCTGTCAAACATATCAAAGCTGATGAATAACCTTTCTCCAAGATAAAGAGCTGGGGAAATACCAAGAAAAAAATGATTTCCACATGGGTGATGCAATATATAAGGGTGATTGCGGCTGAAATTAAGCAGCATACCTGATGGTGATGAGACCAAATGCTGAGACTCAACTGAATAAACAGTTTGCTTGTAGCTGCATGGCCAGGAGTCAACTGCCATAATGGGGGACAGCCAAAACTTCACTAACAGGGAGAATAACATGATGTGGCTCCTTTAGTTTAACTGACATAATGTGTAAAATCATAAATACACCTTCTGTTGTTTCTCTTGAGGTTCTATTTCCAATGGTCGTTGAGGGAGATGGTTCTAGAAGGCAGTTGGCAGCTTAAGGCTCTGAGGTATCTACTGTGTCAAAGCACACCTGGGAACTATTGGTTAAAGACCATATTTATTACTAAAGAAAAACTGATGAATAACATCAGTTTAGATCTTCCTGTTCTAAATATTTTCTGTCAAGGAACATTGGCTAATAGATTCTTATCAACTGAATACATCAAATTATTTTTACCTTCACATCTATACAATTCTGATAGATGTCTTAGGTAAAGAGTCAGTGGATGCCTGCCTGCCTATCTACCTGAATTTAGAAACCACCTATCTCCCTCACAGAATGACTTAATCAGAATATGCTTTCATTGTAGACATCCACAGTGATAGTGAAGAACATGCCTTTATATATATTGTCCAGGAATTAAGGATAAATAAGAGATTTGCAGCTTAGTTTTCAAAGATTATCTACTATTTCCATTAAAAGTGTAGCCATCCTTTAGTCCAGGGGTCCTCAAGCTTTTTTAATGGGGCCAATTCATGGCCCCTCAGACTGTTGGGGGGGCTAGACTGGCTGAGTGGGCAAAGCCAGGTGGTCATGTGACTGGGTGGGCATGTCCAATTTAACAGTTCATTGAACAATGCACACATTTGTTTTGCTCCTGGGGGTTTTATTTGCTTTTGTTTGCATGTTGTTCTTTTGGTTGCCTTTCTTTTTACTGGATCGTTTTTTCAGTTGTTTAGGAGACTGGTGGTCTACTTCAGGAAACACAGTTTTGCAGCAATTCTTCTCAGCCCAAAGGAGCTTGAGAAATTTCTGTCTCTCTCTCCCTCTGCCTTTTTCTCCCCCTCCCCACTCTTTCTTTCGTGAGTGATTTGCTTGCCTTGGCGGTATACCAAGGTGTAATTGTAGGCAGCCAAATACACAATCCATCGAGTCATTCGCAGGGACATCATTTGTGGCGTTTGCTTGTCGCTGGCTAACAGGCCCAGCAACGGCTTGTGGTCAGTTACAATTTGGAACTGGCGGCCATAGAGGTAGTGGTGGAAACGTTTCACCCCCACAACAATTGCCAATGCCTCTTTGTCCACCTGTCCGTAGTTTCTTTCAGCGGCAGACAGGGTTCTAGAGAAGAATGCCAGTGGAACTTCGGTGCAATTGGACAGTTGGTGGCACAGTACAGTGCCTACCCTGTACAGAGAAGCGTCACAAGCGAGGAGCAATGGCAACTGCTCGTTGTATTGCAAGAGGACTGCCTTGGAAGATAGTAAGTGTTTGACTGCCTTGAAAGCCACGACTTCTCTTTTGCCCCAAGTCCATGTGGCCGTTTTGTCAAGGAGGCGATGCAGAAGTTCTGCCATAGATGCCTTATGTGGCAGGAACAGCACGTAAAAATTAAAAAGTCCAAGGAAGGCTTGGAGTTCAGCTTTCGTTGTTGGAGTAGGGGCCTCCATGATTGCTTGGTCTTGGCAGCAGTGAGGTGAAGGCTGGTGGCATCGATGAGGTACCCCAGGAACTCAACCTGGGGCACCACAATCTGGCACTTCTCGTGCTTGACCTTCAGACCAGCTTGATTGAAGTGGTGCAGCACTGCACGGAGCCTGGTCATAGGTTTGGAATGGCTGGTCACAGAAATGAGGATGTCATCAAAGTAGGGGACGATACCTTTGAGTCCATGGAGCAACTGCTCTATTAAACTTTGAAATAAACCTCAGGCAATACTGACCCCAAACTGCAAGCGACAGCATTTGAAAGCACCACGATGAGTGATGATTGTTTGTGCTTCAGCTGCCGTGTCATCTACCAGCAGTTGCTGGTAGGCCTGGGCCAAGTCCAACTTTGCAAAGATGGTACCTTTGCCAAAGGTGTGCAGCAGATGGTGCACCACTGGCACAGGGTAGGCATTGGATGGCAGGGTGTGGTTTATCGAGCATTTGTAATCCACACAGATCCTTATGCTCCCATCAGGCTTCATGGGCACTATAATAGGGGTCTCCCACCTCGCATGGTCCACTGGCTCCAGGACCCCTTGGGCGATGAGCCTATCCAGCTCAGCGTCGACTTTAGGCTTCAGCGCAAAAGGTACCCGGTGTGGCTTCAAGCAGATGGGCGGCACCTGTGGATCAATGTTGAAAGAAACCGGAGTCCCTTTGTATGTGCCCAGCTGACTGTCAAAAACGGCGGAAAACTCTTTAACTAAAATGTCCAATTCAGCTGATTGCACGCATTGGATGCCGCTGATCTGGAGGCCCAGGGCATCGAACCAATCAAGGCCCAGGGGGCTGGGCAATGCTCCTTCCACCACTATCACAGGCATCCGACCTGTGAAACCCTTGAACTGGACCTTCACTGTTCTGGTGCTGGTGATAGGGATTACATTTCCCTGATAGTCTCTTAGAGTTAAGTTGCAGCTTTGCAGGTGATGTTTTGACAGTTTAGGTAATAAACGCTTTATGGTGCTCCAGGACATGATGGATGTTGCGGAGCCCGTATCAACTTCCATCTGGCAGGGCACCCCCTCGATTTGGACCGTCAGGTGGATCTTCTTTCGTATAGAGTTGCAGGTCTGGAGCGCGAGCACTTCCAGGTGGGTTGGGTGGCGGAAGATTGCATGACAGTCATTGCTTGCATTGCGCATGTGAGGAAGATGGCTGCTTGAGCTTTTCGCTCGGGTGTGAAGAACAAACAACCTGGCTGATAACCCGAGTTCTGTTGTAATTTGATGCCGGAGGAGTTAAGCCTGGAAAGAAGAACTTGAGAGGAGCAGGGAACGGTGATTATTAACGAGAAGCCTTCCCTGACAGCCCCAGACAGAGCAACNAATGGAACAAGGTGCTAATTTTAACTGAAAGAAACAGGGAATGATTAAAACCAATAAAGGAAAATTGGCAGGCTGTGGAAAGGGGGAAAGGAGGTGCCCAAACAGTTGACTGGTAATTCCCATGGATGGTTCTGCAAAGCAGTTGCAGGAGGAGACATATACCCCTTGCAACTTGCCTTTGCAACATGCTCTTCCTGTAGGTCATCATCATCATCATCACTATCCATTCCAGTTAACCTAAAGAGTGAAAAGAGAAAAGTTATGCTCCGAAACATTTTTGCCATACACTAGTAAAGGTGAAGGTAAAGGTTCCCCTCGCACCTACGTGCTAGTCATTCCCAACTCTAGGGGGCAGTGCTCATCTCCGTTTCAAAGCCAAAGAGCCAGCGCTGTCCAAAGACGTCTGCGTGGTCATGTGGCCGGCATGACTAAACGCCAAAGGCGCATGGAATGCTATTACCTTCCCACCAAAGATGGTTCCTATTTTTCTACTTGCATTTTTACATGCTTTCGAACTGCTAGGTTGGCAGAAGCTGGGACAAGTCATGGGAGCTCATTCCGTTATGCGGCACTAGGGATTCGAACCGCCAAACTGCCAACCTTTCTGATCGACAAGTTCAGCATTTTAGCCACTGAGCCACCGCGTAGACTAGCCTGGTCTATTCAGATTATTTTCTAAACAACACATTTCAGAATGGCCCAGCAGTTTCTACTAGTCCAGTGTTGACGAATCTTTTGGACTCAGTGTATCAATAATTTTAAAAATGCCTAATCTGATTCTGCTGATGCATGTCACACAAGCACACACACCATTTCTGAATAAAAGAGAACTAATTATACATTCCTTTAATTATGTGTCTGATTTCCCAGGATCTGCTGTGTGCTGTTTACCTTCAAGCAGTGCTCCCTTTCTATGGACAGGCCCCTATGGCCTACCCAAGGAAGCTGTTGTGGCCTATCGGCCACCAGCCCCTCCAACAGCCGAATCAGGTGAGGAGGAGGAAGTGTGGGAGGCAGGGCCAGCATCAAGGCAACCTGAGAACTCCGAGGGGGAAGGGGGAATGGAGCTGTCAGAGAGAGAGAGAGCGAGGCAGAGCCTGGGCCGTCTATCAGCCCTCAGATTGAGAGTCAACAGCCCCCAGGTCTGGAGGTGGCTGATGAGGAAGAGGAGGAACAGCTGGGTCCAGTGTCTGATGCACAGATGCGCAGGAGAGGAGAGCAGTGGAAATCTATGGGCTGATCCTTGGGACAGAAGAGCCACCACTCTTAGTGAAGCCTCACCCTAGCTCTGGGGATAAAAGGCAGGGGGCAGAGATGAATAGGGGTGGCAGACACATATTCATCTCCCTCCCAGACAGACTTGTTAGCCTACTATGAGAGAGAGGGAGACTTTTTATCGGTGCTGCTGGCACTCCTAATAAAAGAATCATTGATTTAACTACAGAGGGCTTGTTGTGTTTGGGAGACGGGTCAGTACGGAAGCTCTGGGTCGCACGAGGCCTTTGTTCTTGAAGCAGCTTTAGAGAATGCTCTTCTGCAGCCTTGGCAGCCTCCAAAAATCACAGGAAAGCAAGTCTTCTTGCCCAATTTTCAGAGGCTGTGTGAGAGCACGGCCATCTTACGCAACTTCCAAAGACATCACATATGAATGAGGGCATACTTTTGAGATTTGTTGTCCAATGTTAGTGAATGCTGACGTGTCATCCAAAACATCGTGACATGTCACCTTTGACATGCATGTCATGTTCACCATTACTGCAATGCACATCCGCCCAAACGTTGGCTTCTGGATTTGATTGATTGATTGATTGATTGATTACATTTA